CTTTCCAAAAAGTAACTTTCCAACCAAAATAATGTATTTTTTAAAAGTCAAATCAAAAGAATAAATATAAAATAAAAAATAAACACATTAATTCAATCAACAGCATAAAAAAAGGAGCATTTAGTTACAACTAAACTTACAAAGGAAATGGAAATACAAAGGAAACAGAAATATACAACAGTACTAGAAGAAATCAAAAGAAATTAAAAACAGTATTAAATAAGAGACAGAGGATGATTGACATTTTGATGTGGAGCTTGAGAGAGCTGTGACCAAGGGATGTGCTGACAGAGGGAATCACCACAGAGGAGATAATGGAGGGAATATGGAGGCAGAACATGTCAGGAAGCCCCAACAAGGTCACCAGGATGTAGGGCCGTAGCACAGTCAATAAAAGGATAGGTGGACCTTTGGTAAATGGACCAAGCAGAACCCAGGGGACAACAAAATGAGATGGAGCCATTAGAGATGAGGATTTAGGCAGAGCTGAAGACCCAAGGCAAGACCACTGCACTGCAGGGCAGAGGCAGAACCACAGAGGTTGAAGGAATAAGGCAAGACCCCCGATACAGCTTGAGGGATAACTGCCCATGGTGGAACGGATAGGTCGACAGAGTGAAAGTTAAGTCTGGGGCTTGGCACAAAGACAGAGGATCATAACCTAGGCGGAGCTGGTAATCTGGAATACAAAGGTTGACCCAAGGTGCAATGAAGGATGAGCCAAAAGGCTGCAAGGAGCCAGCGGACACAGGCCCCATTAACTAGATAACATGGGTAGAGGAGGCGGGAGGAGCATCAATGAGAGGCTTCATGCTGAGTGAGAAGGACATCAGACTGGACTGTTTAAACAGCTGGAGGGACCAACCAACACAGGATAATGGGTTATTAAAAAAAAAGAAAAAAAAAGACTATAACCTGACAAGTACTTTACAGTAATTTTGAAAATGTTTAAAAACTAAAATGAAAAACAAAACAAAGTGCAACAAAATACAAGACAAGTTTACAACTTTCATACAAAGCTTTACAATATAAGAAGGGGCAAACAATGGCATAAAAGGTAACAGAATGTAAGAAACAAGTTAAAAGGTATTTATTAACAATAAAAACAATGCTTTAAAATAAAGATCTAAATATAAAATAAATGCAAAGACAGACAAAAGAGTCATAAAATAGAAAGTCAAATGGAACAAGAGGAGAAACCATAGTTTGGTTGTCCCTTTAATTAAGATAAATACAAAATTAGTACAATGTAAATAAAACACTTAAAAAAGTGTCTGCACGGGAGGCATCCCTATATATTGTAGCTTAAGTGACTTTGATTTGCACCTGCAGTTGATAGACTCATGAGGTGCAGGGTGAAAAATCAACCTTGGACAAGACCCACCCACTGAAGTACAACAGCTGAACACTTGAAAAGAAAGATCTCCAGTTTTCCGGAAGTTCATGAAAATAAATCAAGTACCCAGAAAACTCAACCATCCCATCGGGAGAACAAAATTCAAACAGGCTGAATGAAATAGCAGCATCAGGCACAAATAAAAATCAGCACAAGAACATAGAGATGAATCAAAGCAGAAAAATGGTGTAGTAAGACAGCCACTAATGCGAACATACAGAAGGCAGTCAGAATATAAACAGGCACATACATTTACAAAACACAAACAGTAAAGGCAAACCTTTTATAAAGTACATTTAAATACAAAATACAACTGTTCCAGAAAAATAGGAATGGGCATAAAAATGGTCAATGGGACTGGGCCATAAAACAGCACAATGGCTTACAAGGCAAGGAGCATAAATTAAAGATATATGGAAAACATTCAATCATAAAAAGCCAATAAAACTAAAATAGGCTTAGGGAAAATGCAAAGACAAGAGCAGTGATGGTTCAAATGCAAAGGCAAGAGATCAAAATACAAAAGATGGGAAAAATGCACAAATGCAAAAAGTGCCATTGAGACCATGATAAGGACATAAGTGCAAAGACAAAATTTAAGGAGCATTAAGGCATAAAGGGTATTACAAATTTAATCTAACACCACAAGGAAAAAATATGTAAAAATCACTACAACAGGGCAAAAAAAGGGACTTAACTGGCAAAGGCATAAAAGGCAAACAGCAGAAATACAAACACTAAAGGGGAATAGGAATGCAAAAGGAAGAATAATCTGAGACATGCAGCTTTTATGCTTAACAACTTTATTTTGTTCTGTCTTAGAATAGCTTAGACAAGACCATAAAGGGCACAGAACAAAGTTTAAATAGAAGTTAGTAAATAAAATACTGTACAAAAGGAAAAAAAAGACAGACTGATTGAAATATAGAGGGCATAAAAAATCCTAAAATAAAAAACCTAAAATGTGCTGAAATACAAAAAACAAGGTTAAACAATACAAAGTAGCAAAAATAAGTCAAGTGGACAAAGCTAGGGTTGGGATGGGATGTAGAGCCAAAACACAGTCAATAAAATGATAGGGGGGACCTTTGGTGAATGTGCCAGTTACAACTCGGTGGACAACCAACTCAGATGGAGCCATTAGAGATGGGGACCTGGGCAGAGACAAGACCACTGCACTGCAGGCCAATAACTGCCCATGGAGGACCTGATAGAGCATCAACCTAACTTTCACTCTCTCGACCTGTTTTTGGCCTCAGATTACCAGCTCCGCCATAAGTCTGGGGCTTGGCACAAAGGTGGACTCAAGGTGTAAAGGGTAAAATGAAGGATGAACCAAAGGGCTGAAAGTAGCCAACAAACACAGGCCACATTAACTAGATGACACGTGTAAAGGAGGAGGGGGGAGGAGCAGCATCAATGAGAGGCTGAGTGTGAAGGACATCAGACTGGATTGTCTATCCTGTGTTGGCCGGTCCCTCCAGCTGTTTAATGGGAACACAAAATAAACCAAAACAGATTATAAACCTCACAAAAACTTAAAGTAATTTTGAAAATGCAAAAAAAGGTTACGATTCACAAATGGGGTGTTCCAAATTACACAATATGGGCACAAGTAAAGTCATAAAAGAGTAGAAACACGGTTTATGGTCCATATTTGTTTCCATGTTCTGTTTAAAGCCTTTTGTTAACCTAAGTAAAAAAAACAAAGAAATTAAAATGAAAACAAAATCAAGTGCAACAAAATACAAAAAAGTAAGTTTACAACTTCAGTACAAAGCTTTACAATATAAGAAAGAAAAACAATAGCATATAAGAAAGGCAAACAAGAACATAAAAAGCAAACAGAAAATGTTAGAAACCAGTGAAAGAAATATATTTTAAAAAATGCATTTATGGTATATTTAGGTTTTTATTTTTATTGTTTTTTTATGTTATTTGAGACAAAAGGGTCATAAAATAGAAAGGGATAATAAAAGGACAAAATTGATCTTAAATGGAACAAGAGGCGAAACCATAAATACAAAAATTACATTTAGTACAATATAAATAAAAACAAAAAAACTGAAAAAAGAAATTGTCTTTGTGAGTGGGATAAACCCCTATATATTGTAGCTCAAGTAACTTTGATTTGCACCTGCAGTTGATTGATGAGGTGAAGGGTTGAAATCAACCCTGGACAAGTCAGTCTAACACAAGTCAAGATCCACAAGTCCTTTGACGAGTCCCTTGTCTTTACAAGTCCCACCCACCCAATTGCAACAATTGAACACTTAAAAAGAAACTTCATTTTCATTAACTTCTGTTAATGTGGAGAACCAAGTACCCCATGAACCCGATAGCCATACCATCAGGGGAAGAACAAAATTCAAACAGGCTGAATGAAATCGCAGCATGAAATACAAGTGACCACAACAACAGAGATGAACCAAAGCAGAAAATGGGCATGATGAGACTAATGCGAACATACAAAAGACAGTAAGAGAATAACAAGTGCATAATTATGCAAAAAGTACAGACAAACCATTTGACGCAGTTCCTTTCAATACAAAATAGAACAGGGTAAAGCCTTTTTATGCCCTGTCCCATTGACTAAGACCAGGAGCATTAATAAAAGATGGAAGACATTAAATCAAACAAAAAAAAAATAGGCTTAGGAAAAAAAAGGAATGAAATTAATACAAAAGATGGGAAAATGCACCGATACAAAAAGTGCCATTGTGACAATAACAAAATCTTAAATACATGAGGTTAAGGCATAAATACAACAGCAGCAGTTTCAGGACTGTGTTTTATAAAGCTGTACAAGTAATTTGCTTTATACAAGTATAAATAATAAGGCATTAATGTAGTGAAGATTTGCAGTGACTGTACATACAAGAATGCCATGTTCCTTCTCAGAAAGCCCACAGTCTCTCTCTGAACAGTAACATTTAAGAAGTTGGAGATATTTAATTTCAGACCATAAAAATGCAAGACCTAAAACTACAATGCATTAAAATGACAGTACAGTTAATGCATATCTTTTTTTTTTGTTTCAAAACATTTATGTATAGAAGAAAATGATTGCCTGTTGTATTCCCTTACATTTGTCAATGAAATACATTCAATCAACAGCATAAATACAAAACATTAACATTTCTACAAAAGGGAAAAAAGGAGCATGAAGCAAGGGGCACAAAAATAGGGACTTCTTACAAAAGTGTAAAGATACAAAATTTTAAAGACAATATCAAAAAAAACACATAAGAAATAATGAACAAATGCCATCATTTGACAATCAAACTTAAATGAGGGATTCGAAGAGGATACTAGGACAAATCAATATAAATGATGAAAAGGAATTCAAAGGCTAAAATTAAGTGGCATAAAGACACTTTTAAACTATTTTGAGAAGCACTATACAACTAAAATTGACTAAAACATAGGACAAGGGCATATTTACAAGTAGTTTAAAGGGAAAGGTAACAGAGGTATGGAAGTATTAAAAGATTAAATAAATGCAAAGAATAGCAAACCAAAAGCACAATATCATCAGTGCAAATAGACCAGAAAAAAATGGTCATAACACAAAATGAGTATTAAGAAGGGGGAAAGGGGCTTAAAAATGGTACAAGTGTCTAAGCCATAAATACAAAAGCAAATGTTGTCAAATCAATTTCATGACATTAATAAATTCTCTTTTTTTTAAAGTGCTCCAAGCCATAAATACAAAAGCAAATGTTGTCAAATCAATTTCATGGCATTAATAAATTCTCTTTTTTTAAAAGTGCTCCTGTGCTACAGAGACAATAGAAGGCATTATCCACAGAAGTCAAGACCCACACAATTCAGGATCCACACAAGTGAAACACAAGTCAAGACCCACAAGTCAAAACACAAGTAAAGATCAACACAAGTCAAAAAAGTCAAGATCCACTCAAGTCAAACACAAGTCAAGACCCACAAGTCAAGATCCACACAAGTCAAGACCAACACAAGTCAAACAAGTCAAGATCCACTCAAGTCAAACAAGTCAAGATGCACACAAGTCAAACCCCATCGGCATAAAATAGTCAATTGGACAGGAACATAGAACAGCATAATTACTAACAATTAAAATAGCATAAATGAAAGATGGATGGAAGACATTAAATCATAAACAAAAAACAACGGGCTTAGAAAAACAATGGGCTTAGAAAAAAAATGCAAAGACAAGAGAAAGTAATAAAATAAATGCAAACGATAGGAAAATGCACAAATATAAAATTGTAAATTTTGTAAAAGTACATGTAACGGGGTGACAAAATACAACTTTGTCCCTAACACAGCGGAACTAATGTTCGCCGTGATTGCCTCCCGCCGGACCCAAAAAAAGGAACACCTGGCTAGTTCCAGGGTAGTGCAAAAATCCCCCGAAAAGGGGTGGTCAGCCAAACGTCACTGGCAGCTGTGCATGGGGAGTAAAACTTCGCGATTGGGACACGTTGCAATTACAGGAGTATAAAAGGAGGAAGTACAGACCAAACGGGGCATTGTTTTGGGAGAAGTGCTCTCAGAGAAAGTGTGAGCCGTGGTGAAGAGGAAGTGGGGCCGGCGAACGGGCACGGTGCTGTGAGTTGGGAGAAAGAGCAGGCTGATTCAATAAGAAGGAGGTAACCATGGGACAGAAGATCATTTGTGAAAGATCATGAGTAGTCCAAATCAATTTCCATCCTCCTCTCGTGTCTGTGGGACCTCTTGATGTGAATGCCAGTTCAGAAGAAGGGCAATGGCCATATATATGAATATTTCCCACTGAGTGCTGAATTGTTGAGATGAAGGGATGTGATGCACTGTTTGCTGTGTGAAGTGTAAACCTAAACCCCTGGATGTCCACTTCTTACCGGAGTTTTCCATCACATTCTGACTGCATAAGAAGAGGCTAACATTGTTGTACTTCACAGACCATTGAGTGTATTTGTCTGGCAGCCCACTGTGAAGAGAGACACGTAGTGAACGCTTAACTGACTGCTTTGCAGTGAAACCTCCAGCCGTAAGTTCTCTGTCTGTCACTTAAAGAAGAGGATTACGTACCTGTATGCTCACCTGTCTGCTTTGCAGTGAAGCTCCCCCGCTGTAAGCTCGGTGTCTGTTGGCCCTGCAAGTGAATTCAAGTTTGTTTGTATAGTCCTTTCACAATACTTGTTTCAAAGCAGCTTTACAGAAAGTGCATTACAGAAAAGTACATGGAAAATTACATTTAGATAATCATGTAATATTAAGGGCATAACATATCGCCAGCATTGAGTAGTCTCTCCACAGGCGTCGAGTCATCTTTCACAGGTGTTGAGTCGTCTCTTCACAGGCATTTAGTCTTCTCATTGCAGGTGTTGGGGCATCTGAAGTCTCCATGAGAGGCTGGATACAAACTGGAGCTGACTAACGCCGTTTTTCTCGGGAAAAGCATCCCGAGATAACAGCAGAAAACAGATGGGAAATAATTAGCATAGCTGATGTTCATAATGATTTCCATTACACAGGAGTAGATGTTAAAAAAAACACACTCACAAACTCTCCACAACCCAACCATACGCACCAACCCGTTTGACTAAGGCTGTCGAGCCCCACTGTCGCGGTAATGCGTTTCATTGGCAACGGTTCCATATGGCATACCACCTACCACAATAACACAACATCTGCCCAACCACCCATCATTCACGCAATACACACAGGAAAAGTAATGATTGTAAATACTATGCAACCTATACAAGTAACCTACAGACTCTTCAAGTTTTAAAGTATTAAAAGCATTCGATCTGATTCAACAGAGGAATAAAATGTAAGCAGTATGTGAATGCTTGGCTAAAGAGATGCATCTTTAGTCTAGTTTTAAACTTTGACAGCGAGTCAGAGCGTCAAACCATATCGGGAAGGATATTCCAGAGTTTGAGCGTAAATAATTTAAGTTTGAGCCCAACTTTTATTTCTGGAATATTTACATTAATAAACAACTAATGTTAATTACAAGCAATTGTTTAGCAGTATCGTTAATAATCCTTAAGCAAGAACTGACCACAGAGAAGTCATCTTAACAAATTGTAAGTACCATTCGAATGCTTATGATTTAGGGCAGATTTGACTTATTCGACCTAACCTGAGGATAAAAAATAATAATGTTACAGGTGTTAAAATTAAAGCGCACATACACCGTAAAACATGGCGCACAACGTGGGGCTTTAACTGTTCAATTCTGGCCAGTAATTGAACAGTTAAGTGCCTTCTAAATAGCATGTGTGTGGATATGCATAAGGATTAAAAATTTATTTTCTTTTTTTGGAAAAAAAAGAATCATCATCAAATAGAAGACGACTAGACAAATAATCTTTTCTAGATTAGTATCTTTTTTTCGACTAAGTTTAACACCCAAAACGGGTTAGATGTGCACATAAGAAATAAATTGAAGGGTGATTGAAAGTCTAATAAGTCTATTCTAAAGAGGCTAAGCTATGGCAACAAAAGCCCAGGAAAAATCCAACATGACTTTTATACAACCATGTACATGGGGTGATTCTCGTATATTAGGATGGCAAAAGATAGCCTTACAGGCAGAGACATCAGTCCAAGAGATGGAACCAGGAGAAACATTCCTTTCAAAGGAGCGACTTTGACTTACTAGTCATTAGGTGTGTAACGTCTTGGAGATGTCAGACAGAACAGCCGCTCCGATTCTTCTGAGGTGAAGCATAATAGAGCCTAGGTCTCTCCCAGAACAGATTCCAATTATTTACAAAGAGCAGTTTCTGTTCATTACACAATGACATTAATAATTCAATTAGTGCAAATAATCTACTGAACCTTTCCTGTCCTTGTCTGTAAGAGGGAAGCGGTTCAGACACGATGATCGTTGCGTCAGGCGATGTGTTGCGTACCATCTCGATCAGGCTCCTGTAGTCCTTCAGAACCTCAGCCTGATGTCGTTCGCTCCCACGTTCAGCACAACAGCTCCGACGCGCTCATCACCGTTCAGGATCTCAGGAACCTGTGCAGCAATATCAAGAACATGAGCACCAGGAAAGCATTGAGTGCGCACCTTATCCTTACCTGAGGTAGCACGGACATGACGGATAATGGATGTGCCGATGATAACAGCGTCGTCGCGTTCCGACTCGCGAAGAGGGGAGAAGCGGTTCCGGGTCGAGATCTCAAAGACCGGAAGGGGTGGCAGAGAGGTTCTAGCTCTGGTCTTGGCTCGTGTCTTCCGCTGTGTGGTCCATGGTTTTGTGTCATGCCAGAGTGAATGAAGCCAGAGATGATCGCGTCCACCTGGGCAGAGAAACGCATGGAGTAGACGAAGTCAGAGTCAAAGAGTAACTAAGCACTGACTTGTGAGCATCGGCGTGTGATGTTTCAAGCACTGACCGCCGATCCAGCAGCTTATAGCCCACAGGCGTCGAGTCGTCTCTCCACAGGCATCACTAAACGAGGAACAGACACAGTTTCAATATAATGTTCCACACTAAGCAAATCAATTAAGTTTGGACAACAAAAACTGATTTGGACTTTGACTTACTAGTCATGTCTGTAAGTGGGAAGCGGTCCAGACACGATCGTAGCTTCAGGCAATGTGTTGCGTACCGTCTCGATCAGGCTCCTGTAGTCCTTCAGAACCTCAGCCTGATGTCATTCGCTCCCACGTTCAGCACAACAGCTCCGACACGCTCATCACCGTTCAGGATCTCGGGAACCTGTGCAGCAACATCAAGAACATGAGCACCAGGAAAGCAGTGAGTGCGCACCTTATCCTTACCTGAGGTAGCACAGACATGACGGACCATGGACGTGCCCATGATCACGGTGGCGTCGCGTTCCGACTCGAGAAGAGTGGAGAAGCAGTTCCGGGCGGCGGAGAGGTTCTAGCTCTGGTCCTGGCTCGCGTCTTCCGCTGTGTGATCCAGGGTGTTGTGTCGGTGCCGGACTGAATGAAGCCAGAGATGATCGCGTCCTCCTGGGCAAAGAAACGCATGGAGTAGACGAAGTCAGAGTCAAAGAGTAACTAACCACTGACTTGTGAGCATCGGCGTGTGATGTTTCAAGCGCTGACCGCCGATCCAGCAGCTCACAGGCAGAGTCGTCTCTCCACAGGCGTTGAGTCGTCTCTCCACAGGCGTCACTAAACAAGGAATAGACAGTTTCAATATAATGTTCCACACTAAGCATATCAATTACGTTTGGACAACAAAGACTGTGATTTGGACTTTGACTTACTAGTTATTAGGTGTGTGCAAATAATCTACTGAACCTTTCCTGTCCTTGTCTGTACGTGGTAAGCGGCCCAGACACGATGATCGTTGCTTCAGGCGATGTGTTGCATACCGTCTCGATCAGGCTCCTGTAGAACTTCTTCAGAACCTCAGCCTGATGTCGTTCACTCCCACGTGCAGTACAGCAGCTCCGACAAACTGAAGTTGACGAACGCCATTTTTCTCGGGACAAGCGTCCCGAGATAACAGCAGAAACAGATGGGAAATAATTAGCATAGCTGAGGTCCATAATGATTTCCCTTACACAGGAGTAGATTTCAGAGTTTGAGCATAAAGAATTTAAGTTTGAGCCTAACTTTTCTTTCTGGAATATTTACATTAATAAATAACTAATGCTAATTACAAGTAATCATCTAGCAGTGTTGTTAATAAACCTTAAGCAAGAACTGACCACAGAGAAGTCATCTGAACAATCGTAAATACCATTCGAATGCTAATGATTTAGGGCAGATTTGACTTACTCGACCTAACCTGAGGATAATAAATAATAAGGTTAAAAGGTGTTAAGATTAAAGTGCACACCGTAAAACATGGCACCCAGCGGGGGCTTTAACTGTTCAATTCTGGCCAGTAATTGAACAGTTAAGCGCCAGCTAAAAGGATTAGAAATGTATTTTCTTTTTTAAAGATAAATCAATTAGAAGATGACTAATGAAACTTAGTCGAAAAAAAAAATCTAGAAAAGATTATTTAAAGAAGACCCAGAAAGGGTTAGATGTGCAAGGCTCGTTGCTTCAGGCGATGTGTTGCGTACCGTCTCGATCAGGCTCCTGTAGTCCTTCTTTAGAACCTCAGCCTGATGTCGTTCGCTCCCACGTTCAGCACAACAGCTGCGACGCGCTCATCACCGTTCAGGATCTCGGGAACCTGTGCAGCAATATCAAGAACATGAGCACCAGGAAAGCAGTGAGTGCGCACCTT